TCGTACCTCGCGTCCAAGCATATGAAAACTACTATGGTTCTGTCGAAGGTATGATATCGTCAATAGGTCTTGTATAAGTTGGACAATAACTGACCCGTCCCAGATCAGAACTTCGGCGTGGACCTTGAGGCCCGAGCAAGAGCTGATCGCAAACGAGTCCCTGTCCTGGTTACTACGCTGTTGACCTATCTCGATAATCGTAAGATCATAGCTGTCCCTGACTTCAAAGATCGGCATTAACGGAATACTATAGGCTACCCGGACCTTGAGGGTGATGAGGCACGACGTGCTATCTGGCTTTATGATGTCCCTCTGGCAGCTACTCACCACCTTCGCAATGTTTTGAACAACAGCAAGGCAGATTACCAGGAAGTCCTAGAGAAATATGAGGTTCCCATTGTTGCAAGCGTGTTGAAATTGTATCTTCTTGAGTTGCCAGGTTCGTACGACCTTTACCTCAACACATCGGAGATCTGTGCTGACTGGCTTTTTCATAGATTCCCTTGTTTCTTCCCAAGTTTACGAAATCATTAAGACCATTTATTCTACCACCGCTCATGAGACGACGGAGGAAGGCCGGATCAAGGTCTTGCAAAGCACACTTGGCCAGCTCCGTCTCAATAACATTGCTACGCTTGACGCTGTTATGACCCATTTTACGCGCCTGATAGACCTCACATCTGCCGACGAGGCTTACATTTCTGCACTTGCGCAAGCACTGTCTCCTTGCATTCTTCGCCCACGTGTTGAGAGCAGCCTTACCATGAATGAGCGTCACAGCTACCGTCTCATCCGTGACCTTTTCGCTCACAAGGATGCAATCTTTGGAGAATTGAAACGCCAGTCTAGCGCTCTCGGGGTCACAGGTTCCATCAGCCGCCCCCGTGCCATTAGCACGGATGAGAGTAACCGTCGTGCAGCTATGGAAGCTCGAGCTCGTGCCATTGTGGATCGCACTCGGGCCAACAGCCCAGCTCCTCCTCGGAAGCATAGACGGGATCGCTCTAGCGGTCCCTCGGAGGCAGGCCGCTTCCCAGTCAATGTCTCCAGCCCGACTGAGAGGCGAACGGTCACCCGTAACAGCCTGGACGTCCCTAGCAGCAACAGCTCACCGACCGCTCAGGAACAACTATCAAATGTGAACATCAACGCTGCCACTGAGGCTGCGGCTACTGAGGCTACTCCCAACGGCACATCCAGTGATTCCTCGGTCTCGGCTACTGCTAACGAAACTCCCTCCTCCGGCACTTCGACCCCCCCACCAATGGCGGCGGTAACAGCACCAGAGGACTCTCCTACCCCTACTCCTACTCCAGCAGCCGATGTCGAGAAGCGCGCTTCCATCACTCGCGCCTCATTTACCCGCAAGCCCGGTCTCGGTAACCGATCCAGCTTCCCCGTCATCCCAAGCGGGGAATCCGGGACGGATAGCAAGCGCAACAGCTTGGCCGACAGCGAACCCAAGGGCGTAACCCTGGAAGACAAGCCAATGGATGACGACTAAACGTATTATCTGCCAAAGCGAAGCAAAAGAATGACTACCATCACCCCAAAAACCGCAAGAAAGAATCCAGAAAACGAAAACAACAGTATAACCTCAGGAGGGAAATATATGTATGTAGTCGACATCACTCAGACTTTCAGCAGGCCTTGTTAGTCGAGATCGATGTACGACAATGGAAGTTGCGATATACTCATCATGTTGTTTTTCAAAGCCCTTCTTTCACCATTTGTTTTCTTTACTATTCAAGTATAAATCATACCATCCCATTCGCTATTATTTCGCATACCCCTCGAAATGTTTTCTCATGTATGTTTTATCCTTTTTTGATTCTATTTGTCCCTTTGTATGCATAAAGTATCTACCTCCCATTTTGTGTTGCTTATTGGTTTGCGCGCTTTCGCAACATCATCTTCTCAGCGACCCGACTGGAATCGATTGTATAGTTGTTTCAGTTTTCGATTAGTCGATAGCTTATTCATATGTAGAGACGTGTTCGCGATTTATGACACCTTATGTATAACTCATATTGTCTTATTCTCAGTAACATTATGATCGTATCTATATAAACTATACAGCGCTATGTGCGAATGCTATGGTAAACGCTAGACAAATAATGCACCCCTGGATCCAACACTAGTGCAAACGATTGACGACAAAAATTTATCCAATAAACTCCATCTGTGTGGTACGGTTCATTATACATATCACAGCCCTTGGCCCGTGAGCAGCCGTCTGAGGATGCCCTCTCCTGGGCCAGAAAGCTGGGTTTCGATCTCTTTCTGGGACACGAAACAAACCAGGCCTTGTTCGTCCATGGCTCTGCTGGGGGTCATGGGCCCACTCATCGACTTAGAGGGAGAGCGCCTGATGTTCGAACCACCAGCAACTGTGCCGCCTCGACCCTTGCCTTGGTACTCTCCAACCAGTCCTAGAGTCTCCAAGTTGCTAAGTACATCTCTGAACTCGGTGGCTGTAAGTGGGTGGAGGATATTATCCTTCCGGCATAGAGTACAGTAGGTATCGAAGATTTGCTTGATTGTTGGGGCCGAATGCTTGGTCTTCGAGGGTGTGCCTGGGAATTCCCCTTCACGTCGTTTACGGTCGAGCGCAATCAATGCACAAATGGCCGCTTTTTGCTGAAGGTTGATGCCTTGAAGTCGTTGGACAGTCCCTTGTCCAAATGTGGCCGAAGTGATGCGTGCAACATGGGCAATGCTGGCCCGTGGTGCAGTAAGTATTGTATATGCTGATGTAAGATTTTGCTTTGGTTTGGGGGATGAGAGATTGTTATTCTCAACAAGTATTGTTTTAGATGGGCTCTCCGGGTTCTCGTTCTGTTTTTCAAGTTTCTGTAGTGTTTCTTGCTCGATGAGATCGATAGCGCGCTTGATGAGCTCAAAAGCCTTTCGCAGATCGCCGGTCTGCGATGCGACTTTCTTCGAGCATAACGTTATAGCTGCCGGTTGGACGAAGGGAATGAATTTTGGATCATCGCACTGGCCAGGAGAGAGCAGCGAGCGGAGACGTTCAGTGACTACGTTGGCGATCTGACCAGCGTTGTAGGGCAAGAAAGGGAGTAAACGGGGTTTCAGGTTCTTTGCCTTGAGCTGTGGCAATGCACGGTCGGTCAAATCTAGCGCGTTGGCAATTCCGATAAGCATGAGCTTGGATTTTCCTTGCAATGACCACTCGAACAGAGACTGCAGGATACCCGCATCAGCTGTAAGGAGATGGTCTATTTCATCCAATGAAATCAGAAACATCTCATCCTGCTTTTTATTGGACGTGAACATGGCTTTTAGCCTCTCCGCCTCACTCTTCTTGAAAATCTGCTGATCGTCGCAAAGATCTTCGATGAGCTTGCTATAGACATCTCGAGCACCTCGCATGCTTGCACAATTGACATGCGTGACCTTCACGGAGCCTAGATCAAGCTCATCACACACTTCTTTGACCATGGCACTTTTGCCCGTCCCAGGAGGACCACTGACATACAGACAACCACCTCGCCGTGATTGCAGACCATCTTGTATGAACGAGGCTAGTTTTTCCCGTTCCGCTTCCCGGCCAACAAGGCGACCCGAGTTTGCGCCCCGGGCAAACAATTGTCTGGCTTGAGTATAGATCGTTTGTGTGGTTTGTGTGGCTTGTGGCGTTAACGTCTGTCGAGGGGTACGCGGGGTTAACGAGATTCCTCCGACCTGAACCCGGTGTCTTGGTGTTATAGGCGGCGAGTCAAGGGCGTCCCGGTATCTGGATTTTGAAGGAGTCTTGAATTCGACTGGTGTCGTATTCTCATCTGTAGTTGCCGGTTGAGTATCGGCGCACTTCCCCGTCGATAAGTCTCTATTGATTGATGTTGAGGAACGGAGACGTGATTGTGCCTTTGTAGGAGATGGCGCTCCGTGTTCCGGCTCTTCATCCTTCACACATCCATTTCTATCTGAGACGTCCTTGGACTTGGCATCATCTTCCTGTTGGTAGGCACTGCCACCCCTTGTCTTTGACCGCAGTTGGCGTGTTGTCGGTGCAGACGGTGCATTCTCTTCTTGAAGGATGCGAGGCGGTTGTGTTCGGCGCTTACTGGCACTGCGCACTGGTAGCACTGGCACTAATACCAATTAGTTAGCATGGGTCAGGTTCAATAACGCCCGAGGAAGGAGAGAGTGAAGGATATCTCAATGTCGCGCAATCGTACCTCCTACTTCAAGAGTGTTCCGTTGGCGCTTGCCGAGAACTGAAGCAGTCATTGTGAGCGCTCGAGGCTATCGCTGGCCGCTGGGGAAGGAACAGATGTGAAGGAGAAAATATGAATAGGCAAGTACGAAGGAGGTGGTAGTAGTAGACATAAAAGTAATAGGTCGCTACTAGGTCTAGAGGTTCGATGACAGGTACTTGGCAGGCTATGGACTATGCCTCAACCAGGCATAATTGGCCCGTGAGGTCCGTTTCATTCGCGCCGCCTTCACGCGTTTTTCCACCTCGCGTCACGCGTCCTCCAATGCCCCGAAAAAGGAAAATCACATGGGTGTAACTACGGCGCGGTGGAAAAGCCAATAACGCAATCCTTGGTGCGCGCGTAAAGACCGCTTATCCCCGCGGTGGCGGAGAATCTGATTATCCAAGTCCCAAATCCACCAAGCAAAGTGCGTCACTCGGTTCTACCTGATGATGTGGGCCAGTTCTACAAAGCTATATTTCAGATCATTCCGTTGGAGCCAGTGATCACGCTAAGTGACAAAAAGCTCGTATGTTGAGTTAATCCCTCTTACCAGATAACTTCGATCCTTGTTAATTAAGACTTCGGTAGCTTTTTATTCACTGAGCAAGTACAGGTCATTATTTGGTGTTTGCAGCTGTTTGCATCACATTCGTCACAAGTCTCAATACACTAAATCTTGTGGGATAGCTCCTTCTGTCACAACAAGTTAACCCCCCGCTCATCTTCCTCAAATACTCACCGTCGTCGCATCCTTTCGCAAGCATTCTGCCCGCTATGAACGACGATGTGGTGGCTCAGTTCACCGAGATCACGGGCTCGAGCCCTGAGCTGGCCACTCAGTATCTCCACTTAGCCGATTACAATATTGAACAAGCTATGCAACTTTATTTCGAAAACGGCGGCGCACCATTAACTGATGAGCCCATACCATCTACATCAGGTACTCCGGGAGCTCGACCTGCCGCAGGCGATAGTGGGGCTGTACATGTCGGCTCTGATGACGAGGTCACTGTTGACGAAGCGCGATCTACCCCTCGACACCAAGCGCCACAGAATTCTACCTATGAAGATGATGAGGCCATGGCTCGGCGTCTCCAGGAGGAAATGTACGGCGGTGGGGGAGGTGGAGGAGCAGCAGTTGAAGATGATGGTGTGCGTGCTCCGATGGCTCGCACAACAGAAACACTCGTAGGCCCAGATGCGGACTTCGACGATGGCGATATGCACACAAGCATACTAGGTCAATTGCGTGCCCGCCAGCAGCGAAGCAGTCAGTATTCCCATGTCGTCGGCACCCTTTCACGTTCGCCAGCTAACCTTAGGATTTGCTAGATCGACCTGGCATCTTCAATCAGAGGGACACCTCTTCGATATGGACAGGGGAAGACGATGCCACACGTCGCCAGAGGCTTTCAGAAGCAACTGGGGGTGCGTCTGATGCTTCGAGTAAATCGAATATGCTTGCCGAAATGTACCGTCCGCCTTTTGAGATCATGTCACGACTTCCATGGGACATAGCCCGTCAGGAAGGCCGTGAGAATGAGAGGTGGTTGCTGGTCAATATACAAGATCCCTCCATCTTTGACTGCCAGCTGCTGAACAGGGACTTGTGGAAGGACGCTGGAATCCGAGACACTATCAAAGAACACTTCCTCTTTTTGCAGTACTCTAAAGACGACCCACGAGCTGCGCCGTACCTACAATACTATTTTCAAGCGAGCGACGTTTCCGACAACTACCCCCATATTGCCATTGTCGATCCACGTACCGGCGAACAGATGAAGGTGTGGTCCGGGCCGCCTGTGGTGAAGGCCGCAGAGTTCCTGATGCAGCTGCATGAATTTCTGGACCGTTACAGTCTTAAGCACAATGTGCGGAACCCAGTGGCCAAGCGGAAACCAGAGAAGGAGAAGAGCATCGATGCTATGACGGAAGAGGAGATGATGGAATTGGCAATGAAAAATAGTCTTGGTGGAGATCCCTCTCAAGCTCAGAAATTGGAAGATCCTGACGATTTGACTCGGAGTGTCGAGGATGTGAAAGGCAAAGGCCGAGCAGCCGATACTGAGGACATCAGCATGGGTGAAGCAGATCAAGGCGGAAAGAGCGAAGCTGAAACTTCTCCGTTCGCCTCGATTCCAGATGATAAGCCTCACACCGAGCCCCCCGCCGACCCGGCTACGACTACACGCATTCAGTTCCGCCATCCATCCGGAAGAGTAATCCGACGCTTCGCTCTGAAGGACCCCGTCCGAAGAATCTACGAATGGCTTAAGGCCGAACCTCCGTTGCCAGATAAAGCGGGTGTCGAGTTCGAGCTCAACTCGCTAGGTCACAATCTGCTTGACTCGCTTGACAACAGCGTGGAAGATGCGGGCTTGAAGAATGGTACAGTAATGATAGGATACGTTGAAGAGTAAATGCACATGAATGAGGATATGATATCTGCATTTGATGAGGCGTTGGGTTCGGAGACTTATGAACCGGCTGGTCATGGGCTCAAGGGAAGTTACATTTTACACCGTGGATTCTCACTTAGATAGGGAGGCATTATTGCCTAGGTTAGAATTGTTTTCTTTCCAGTTTCCTTAGTCCCTTCCTAATTTGTCCTGTGTTTATTGGACAATCTACTACACATCCTGTTACGAAAGGGAGCTAGGAGGAGATAGCAGGCACGGCCACTAGATGGCAGCATTCTGCAATTATTGCCTGTATAGGATCAATTATGAATAAGGAAAGAGAAGAATCTGCTATGAGCCTCTGTGCATATTAATACACGTTTCCAGAGGCTGGAAAGCCATTTATAAACTTCTCTGGGGTACATTAACCCTAATTCGATCGGTGGTCCATAAAAAACAAAATTTCTTAACCTGGTATGGAGCTTGTTAAGTGGCACAGGTTAGTTAACTATGCCATTATTGTCGTAATAAGAATAGCTGCCATAAAAGTGTCTAAAAACATGATTGAAATATTTCCGTAACAGTTGATCCGGAGCTGCGAAGCTATTCGCCTTGAACAGATAACTGGACCTTCTGGAGAACATTGCTACAACTATAATATAGTAACCTGAGTGCATGTTATCCTCCTAAATTAACCACAGACATATCCAATCTTTCCCCCTTCCTTCATATACAGGGACACAGCATAACTGAGTATTCATAGCTGAGGTAGGTATATATGATGTTCCCTTCTGCACCAAATCACCGAGACACATTTGTGCTAATTGTTTAATGGGCTTTTTCTCCCGTTCATCCCCCTGTGCATCGCTTGCAGAGGGCTTTGTTATAGGTTCTTCGGTGATTGCTAGGAAGGGCGACTCGAAACCTACAAAGAGGATTTCTGCAGTCTAGAGGACTATCATCAAGTCCCCATGGGGATCGACAGTATGAGTTGCTCTGTTCATGATGGTGGCTTTGCGCGAAGTAACAGAGGTCTATCCTGGGTTGGCAGAAGGAAAGAGAGAGGGTTGACTAGAGTGAGATGCCAATGGAAGGGTCTGATGATGAATGGAAGAGCGCTTCAATGTTTGTTAAATGCACCTGCTTTTTCGTAAGGCGCTCATCCGGTCTTAAATTTTCGACATCATCTAAGCACTTTCGAACTACGGAGTACTTCTTTCCACTCTACGGATTGGTTTGCGAGCTTTCCAACTTCCCTTGTGGAAATCAACCAATGCTATTTTTGGCTAACAGACTTACTATCGACATTAGGGGCATGAAATCAACTAGTTCACTATATTCCATTACAGGCCTGAGGTTATACTACACCTACCATGGATAGCTTGTGGCCTTTTGGCTGGATTTGTCGCTAATACTGGACTTTTCACAAAAATGAACACCTCCAGCGCAAAGGGTTGGCAACTAGTACGAGACCTCTGCGACTATGGTTTCCTAGGCAAAACTTTGACCTTGAGTTCCGGCTTCTCCCATAGGTTGTACACTCGTTGCTTATCCCAGCCCTTCGAAGCTGGACAAAGCTCCAGATCAAAGTTCCAGAGCACCAAAGCCAAGAGCAGGCGCATTTCCATATATGCAAGACTACTGTTTGTCAGCTGGCGTCAAACAGTACGGTGCAGTATCAGCAATTCAGGGAAATTACGTACTTTCGGCCAATGCAATTGCGAGGTCCAACATGGAACGGCTGCAAGGCATTTTTGTGATCGTTCTCGAATCCTGGCGCATTACCTAACCATCGTTCGGGGATATACTCATTAGGACGTACAAAGTTTCGGGGAGAACGGTAGGTCGCCCAGTGTGTCATGCGAATGGCAGTCTGTATCTTGTCAATCGGTTGTTCCCAAGACACTAACTGAGTAACCCAGTCGGTCAATTTCATACATTCTGGGGCACTGGCCGACCATTTATCACCTCTACATTAGATCCCGTGTTCCGCGGCAATCCATCGGCCACAGGAGGATAAACACGCAACGCTTCATTCAGGCAAGCGAGAAGATAATGAAGCTTGTTTATGCTGACGAAAGAAATTTTATCAGCGGAATCGAACTCGCTCCGGACTTCCTTCACTGCCTTTTGCAGCTTTTCTGGGTTGTTAAGAAGGTGAAACGTAACACCGCACAGCAAGGAGGCAGTTGTCTCGCTGCCCGCAACGATCAATGTCTGTACCGTTGATTGATATTCCGGATCGGTCACACCGCTGTCAGGCTTAAGGAGATTGGCGACCAGGTCATTTCGACCGTCATGGATGGTCTTCCGATAATTTGCCTTCTCTCGGGTTAGGGCTTGCTGCTCAATTTTACGGCGTTGGAAGCTCTTCGGAATAAACCTTCTGATGACCGGGCTTAGCCAGGGCCAGAACTGGGTGCATCGAACGAACACATTGTAACGGATGCTGTCGAATATTATGCTCACCCAGGGGTGAAAATCAGAGCTTCGAAGACAATTAAAGGATTCTCCGAAGACCAGTTGACCCATGACATCGAATGTAAAATACTAATCTAAATTTAGTCCAACGGAGCAAAACGTTACCATGATACCGAGGGACGGAATCAAATCAGTACCCACATTGTACCAACGGGTGAAGTCCACAGCATTCTCCTTCTGCCCATTGGCCTGAGTGCTCAGGTAGCTAATCATTAGCTCCGCGTAGTTTCGTATAGTGTCCTCTTGTTCTCTCATCGATTTCTCAGAGAATCCATGTGACATCTGTCTTCGAAGGTATCCATGGCGGTCCCGGGGGGCGCGAAAGACACCTTCCGGGCCAGATAGTGTACTTGAATAGAAGCTTGGATCTTTTGGAATCTCCGACTTTCCAGGACGATGACCGTAAATCTCGTTCCAACCATCTGGGTGGATATACGAGAGCTCATCAGGAGCCACCCGGACTACATCACCATACCTGAGGTGAAGCTCGTGAATGGCAAATGGCAAAGAACCATTTGCACAATGCCAGGCATACCAGAGCCTAGTGGCTGCAGCGAGCCGAGGCCCAGGATAGTTCGACAGTGGATGGAAGAACACATTGTACGACCACGAGGCAATAACTGCAAGGGAAACCTACAATGCTCGTGTCAGGTGAAAGGCTCACAGGATGTCTACTACTAAGATAAGCAATAGCAATGTAGGGTAAGCTATCGTACCAAAGCGACAGCTCCACCTATAAACTCGAAGGCCCCCGCAGGGCTTAGAATGAATGCCAAGGGGTTGGTAGCCAACATCATAGTTGATATTTATAGTAAGATCCGTTTGGCAGATACTACTAGAGTTCAGACCAGAGGGTCAAAGGATCAGTAGACTGACGCCTCTCGCGGATGGGGGGGCCTTAATATACAAATGCAACACACCTTCACGTTCTGTTCATATCGGAATTTACTAGAGTTTTATCCTGCATGACGGGTTCACAGTGCTCCTGCATAATCCAACAATCGGCAAGGAAATTCCGAGATGTTCATATAACTGGCACAGCAATCCCCGCCTTTTGAGGGGTAAGGTACATATATTGGGAGATCTGCCGTTCCTCAGAATATTTCTATTTTTGAATGGCTATTACTTATGATACAATTTGCGTATGGGCATTACTGAGTATGAGCCACAGAAACCTTATATGACATAATTTTCTGCAGATCGTATGGGTGATTACTGAGATAAATAAAGGCTATCATTGCTCTACCTATTACCTACTTCTAATAGGTCCGGGTAAAAATAGCCCTACTTCTTAGGAGCTTGCGTTGTACGTGTATATGGCAGACGAGCTGCCGAATAACAATTAAGAATGTTCCAACATCCGCGCTCACATAGCCTCCGAGTGGGTCACAAAGGATTTGTGGACCGAAGGATTCTGCATCGCCCTGTGATGATAGCCCGGGGGACCGGGGCCAAGTACTCGTATGTACTCCGTAGGATGCCGATCTTCGTGGCTGACGGTCGCTAAATCTACGGAGGATAAATAGTTCTTCACCAACCTTCGCAACTCTTCGCAATCACTTAAGAGCATGCAATAAGAACACCAGCCAGGAACCCCTGAAGTGTGAACACGAAGCAATTTTGACAGACACGATAGCAAAAGGAAAAATGGCCCAGTCATATCCTCTTCTTTTTCTTTGGCTTCTTCTCTTATCAGCTATATCTAGCACAGCGATTCCACTCCGAACAGGGATCTTCACCCCTGCTAAGGCTGGTAGTGTGACAACAAGAGCCGATAAGGTGCCTCTGAGAATTCTCCCGCTCGGCGCCTCGATTACTTGGGGGGTAAACTCTGCTTCTGGAAATGGTTACCGGGCGCCTTTACGGGATCAACTCACCTCGGCCGGCTGGAAAGTCGATATGGTCGGAACGAAACAACACGGTAGCATGACAGACAATGTTCGTTGTCCTCCCTTAAAGCGGTTCTCAAGCTGTGTCTTCAATCTTGAAATGTCATTAACATACATGGCCACCTCCAGGATGTCGAGGCGCACTCTGGCGATACGATCGATCAGGTCACGAAAGCGGCCCAGGGATCTCTCAAATATAAGCCGAATGTGGTTTTGATCAATGCGGGAACCAACGACTGCAGACTCAACATTAGCATCTCAGATGCTAGTGATCGTATGCGATCCCTTATTGAGAGCTTTCTGGAAGCTGAGGACACACAAGACACAACGATTGTCTTGTCCACCTTAATACCCTCTGTACAGAAAAAGATTGAGGCCAACCGTCCTGACGTCAATCGCCAATACCGCTCTTTGGCCAACAGCATGCAAAAAGAGGGTGTCCGTATCGTTTTGGCCGATATGGACCCTGAGACAGACGATGATAACAACCAGCTGTCGTACCCCGAGGATTATACCACGGATGGAGTCGCAAACGACACCCACCCAAATGAGCAAGGCTATGCAAAGATGGCGAATGTTTGGTATAAGGCAATCTTGGAAGCATCCGATAGAGGCTTTATTCAATAGAGTATGACTACGGACAGCTCTGAAGACTTCAGCGAACTACATTGTTGCTCCACGAGTTCTTTATGATGGATAGACGTTCTAGACGTTCTCGTGTCGAAGTGGATTCCGGGGGGTTGGTCTTGTATGTATAAGTTAAGGTATATGATAGAGTTTCTTTGTACAATACTAGATTCTTTGAGGAAGCTTTCCATCCTCCCTTTTTCGTTCGTTGGGCCTTCATGCAAGTGCATCTTCTGGGTGCTTTGGAGTAGAGTGATGCGAAAGACTAAACTACGCGATCAATCGTCTATTATTACTGTTTATATGAGTCCCGGAATAAATGTACGGGTAGACTTTCGGTACGTCTTAGCCTTAACAGTGGACGAAGCTACAAAGCGTTCATACTATTTGGAGATGTAGGATTTGATGACCCAAGCCTACACACAAAGGGTTAAACATCAACAGGCAACAGATCATTCGTGATCTCATTCCTAACCAACAAAATCAGTAGTACATAAGCCATGCGTTTAGGTTGAACTAAATGTATTCCCCAGAGACATGCAAGTTGAGTTGCATTCTTCTTCGACCCTTACAGCCTCAGACCCGACCTAAATATCATCTTGAGAGATATCTGAAAAGCCATCATGTGAGCATACGATCATTTCATTGGAAAAGAACCACGTTCAAAAAGCTTACCCTCTGAGGACCTTTGGAAGATACCTCCCATGCTCCAAAGTTGACCGTATTTATAGGTCCCATGGAATCCCAAGAGCAGTCCATTCCCTGTGTTCTGCTCATGATGTTCTCCACCACTTCCTCCCACTGTGAAGTGTTGACCTCTGTCTGTTTTCACATCCATCCCGTCAACGCGATCTGTCGCGCGTATCACCATGTGGCTGATCTTTTCACCATGTTCAAGAGATAAACTTTTGCTAGATTCGCCTCTGGTTCCAACCCGGATGCTTCTTTTGCCCTCTTCGTAGGTCAACTCGACGCCGTATAGAATATCTCCCCCAGTTGGTTCGTAACGGCCAACATACGCAGTGACCTTTGTCACGCGGTTATCGTCGTTGCGCAAGAGGAACCCAATCACTGGTTCGGCATTCTTGTTAATGGCATAGTTGACAATGGTGTTGCCTATTGGCTCCCAGGTGTTCGCTGTGTTAGACATGCTTGTTGGAGCGGTAATGGTTAACTTGGCTCAGGCAAAGAAAAGAATATGGCAGCAAATGGGTTGGAATTAAGGGATGATAAAGAAAAATGGATTAGAATCCCAGGCTTACAGGGAACACTAAGGAATATATACCTTAAGTACGTCTCTATATTATGCGTAAGTTTCCCTTCATTGAGCTCTACGTAAGTCATATTCGACACACTCTGATCCCTGACTCCTTTGCTAAGTATGTACTACACAAATCCATCGAGGAGCAACTTGCTGCTCCTCCATAGACAGAACTATCACGTTGAGGCAGATATCAACACATACGTCATGTGCAACTGACTGATGCAAGTGGAATTGGGGAGCCTTACATCAATTGTTCCGGCACCAATTGCTCATGCTCCTAGGTGATCCGCTGGGTTTATACCAGCCAAAACTGTCAAAGTAGAGGTCCAATCAGCTAGTCGAATGTTAGTGAGATCAACTACCCGGGTGTCATGCCTTGGCTGGTTTCTATGAATTGACTCGACGAATGGCCCCCGGTAATGTTTCACTGGCTTTCTTGGTAGCTTCTGATGACGCATTGATTGAGCGTCAGCAACCTTTGATATACGTAATGCTATATGGTATATCTTCGACTGGTAGGGAGTACTTTTGCGTAGGGGTGGAGGACTAAACTCAAGAACACCACTTGATTCCTTGAACCATCGAAGGATTACTTTGGTGTGTATCTAAGTTGAAGTCTATATTTGTTATACTCAAGCAGTAAGGATAAGGTGGCTTGGCGGGTCTAACAGACAAGCATGAATGGAGGCCTCCATAGACCCAGGAGATATGTCATGCTTCGGCCGGCGAGCACAACATGACCAGGGCTATGATGTCCGGAGCCCAGTGGATAGTATTGCTGGCATGCTTTTAGCGCCAAGGTTTTCATCCCTAACGTCCGATTGAAGAGCAAGAGTCAGTACAGTCAGCAAACTCCGTCTCACAGTTGCAAGCTTATATTTTTTGCTCACGACCAGGATTCTCCTTCTTAATTTTTGTTCTCTGGTGCCCTGTTTGACTATGTGTTCACTTCTGTGGCTTCTCCGCGTTATTACAAAGGGAAATCGGTTAGTCTGCGTATTATCACCGTGGCCTTCTGAATCAAAAGTTAATACTAAGGTGGGTTAATTATTGGCTAACCGGTCTATTTTTCCGTAACCAACAGTTCAGAATGACTTATCCCTGTAACCTAGCGTTGACCAGCTGGTTAGGAATTATAGACTCCATTGACCTAACCTAACTTAGCCACTGCCCAGTCTGAGTCCTTTGACCGTAGAACCAGCTGAAGTTCAGATCGTTCAGATTCCAGCAATTGATCCTTGCCACCCCAAGCAATCGAGGCCATTGGTACGAAAATCTCCTCTAGGGCGTCCTCATACTCAGTGTCCGAGTCGTCCATAACCACCGAGCTGATAGGGTCCGGGTCGGATACTTCGGGAATACCATGTATCATTAATATATCGTCCACAACCTCAACTGGTACATGAAGAACTGTAGCGAACATTCCATAGGCAGCGGGATGTTTGATTTCCAGGGAGGCTATTAATGACTCCGGCAGTTGCGTCGCGTAGCATATAAGTCTTTCGTTTTCGGCAGGAGGAACGAAGATGCTCAATTTGCCGTTGAGAAATTCCATATGCAGTCTACTATATGTTTGCACACTTGTGCAAGAACCGGACAGTGAAACCAAGCTACATTCTCCGACAATGTGCTCAGTTTCGTAGACTAATGCCTTCCGAAAAGTGTCATATACTTCGCGAGCAGCACTTACACTTTTGCCTTGGTAGTGGATGGCGCATCTTGAAAAGTTTAGCCGCAAGTCTCGCCAATCAACTACGTGGAGAAACACACCTAGACAAGCCTAATGATCTTTGACGGAAGTCGGTCGTAAGATGCAATGATCTTTGCGAAGGAATTTCTGATAAGCTAGTTTTCTTCGCTGCGCAAATGGAAATGAAACGGTTTTCTAGCCCCAGAGATTTCAGGAGTGGAGCTAATTCACGGACTTCTGCCAGGTGAAACTGAAGCGTTGGCACCTTTCCATAGAATAGCATAGGCCAGCCGTCTCTATCAATGATGAAGAAATCGGATGTTACGGATCCCCAGTAGAATTCTCCCTCGGTGCCCTCTATTGGCAGGAAATCGATAACGTTGAACCACTTCAAGTCAGACACCGTTGGGTTGAGGTTGTTGATATTGTACAAAGCCTCGATAACCTCGGCAACCCCTCCTTCGTGCTTGCAAAGATGCCGGATGTGGCTGATGTAGAAAAGTATGGAAGGTTGCCGGACCTGGAGCTTCTCGATAAAGAAGCTCTCCATGTCTGGATAGATGTTGCTTATGCCCATCTTATCCTCGCTTGAGAATGGTGCCCAGATGCATTGTCCAGGAGCATACCACTGTTTTGAGCCTGGTACATATATCATCTTGTATTGTTGGAATTGACTCCTAATCGTTAAGCCACTGTCAGAGGGTGTTTGGGAACTGGTCTGGGATTTGAACTTACCGCAGACTCGTCCAGTCCTCATCTTCTGCATCTTCCATGATAGCCTGGTATATCCTTCGCGTTTCCTCTGTTAAGCTTACCCCAACATCCTGTAAATGCATTAATTCTGTCATATAGGTTCCCCAGTCTGCGCTCTGCACATTGAGTGAGTCTAAAAATAGGCTCCGCATTTTCGAGTCACTCGCATATTCCTCATGGCATGCAAGAGCGTACACAGTCCGTAACCACGAAGGGCCATGCCAAACGCATTGGTCCACGCACACTAACTGCGCACCGTCAGCGCTACTCGGGATATAGACCACCTCCTCGTTAAAAAATTCCCTATCTGCGTCAGGACAGGACACCCCAGTTTGAAAAGTGGTCATACCATAATTCGTCAAATGGTCTCTCAGATACCCAGCTGTACACTTCGAAAAAATGCAATTTGGCGTCCTCCAATGTCATGGTGGATAACAAGCGATCTTTAATGACGTTTACGAACGTAGCCACTCCATCACCGGACACACCAAGCTTCCGGAGAAATCCCCATTCTTGCTCACTATCCGGGCCCCAGCCCCCTGGTAGTCTGAGGAAATTGATGTTCAATGTGGTGGACACAGCCTCAACCATATCACAGATCTGTGGAATGGGAAAGTAACATCCATCAAGCCTCGCCAGTCCATTCAACGTGGGGACTTTTGCCTCCTTGATTGCGGATACGATAAGTGGTTCTTTGTTTATCTCTATTTCGTATGTGTCCCAATGCCTTCCCAAGACACCAAGAAGAATGTCTGGATGGTGAGACATTATTGCGTTGAATAAGTCAGAGAACTGTTTAGGATTGCTCCAGTGTGTCAACTGGGGAACTCGCCGTGCTATTCCTTGCTGTATAAGCCATAATTCCCACGTATCATTGGGAATGTGCTTTTTGCTTATGAGGTTTGGATGGAGAAAGGTTGGGTGCAACAGATGAAGTCGCTGGATGAAAATAGAGCTTGAGTTCAACCTTTCTGCAATGACCTCCGTCCCGTAGGCACCGTCCGTTTTGAGGTATATATCGAAGGGAAAATACCTAGGGCAAGAGCTCCTGCATACCAAATTCCCCACGCAGTGTCTATCAAAAATCAAAAGGCAAGGCCTCTTCAGAAGGTCATCCTTGGCACAGCTGTCATGGACGTAGCATAAAATATGCATAAAGTCATCCATCATAATCCTCCCGGTCGGTGCACTGGAGGCGGAATGGCTGCGGTGGCTGATTCGCCCCATGACCAGTTCAGGGCATGCACGTCTAACCCCAAGGAGACGAAACAGCTCTTTTCGGTCGTTGTCCCTGACTGCTTCCTCTGAAACAGTCAAAATATCAAGACATTCCGGAATGTGATTACCGTTGGTATCGGTCGGAAAATACACAGCGTCATTTGTAAAAGCCAAGTCAGTTTCAGATCGGATCACCTTTAGGTCGTTCCCTCGAATGAAAGACCTGTTGCTCAATTGAATAAACGGGATATTCTTTATCTCAGTCGCTAGAGTGCTATTGGGATCCCTCTTTAGCCAGGTTATTAGCAGTCGTAAACTAAGCGACATCCGTTCATCTCGTATGTTGAAAGGTCTTGTCAGTATCGGCTTGAGTCTTTTTAAGACTTCATGGTCCGAGATCTCTTGGAGACCTAGGGGCTTCAAAGATCCGAGGTAGGCACCGTATTTCGTAGAAAGGTAATGTTCGTTATCTGAAGCTCCGAACAAGGGATTATTGTCTCCGTCATAATGTTCCGGGGACAAATACCGAAGTGAAGACAGGCTTTTTAGAACACTCTTTTGACTCTGGAAAACGGGGGCCTCTCGGAGTTCTCCAATTAACCCTTCAACTTTTTTATGCCAAACTGGCGGGACCATGCTCTGCCTGGGAATGTACTGGACCCATCCATAAGTCATGGAGTGATTTTGACAGAAGGAAACGGCATCGCAGAAGGAATTGATACAGCTTTGTATCAATGTAGAAGTATCGATGTCAGCATCTCTCACCGGGTCGTACATCTTCACAGTTGCACAAACAACGAACTAAAAAGTTAGCAGCCTGTTTTCAGATGGCATCAATTGAAACACTTACATTGAGTTTCACTTCACTAATAGGGAAAGCGAATGATCCAATAATATGGTAAGCTTTCCGAGATTGTATGACGGGCCTTGAGTTCTGGTCGATAGGAAACAATAGCGCCACCTGATCAACCGACGACGGAATAGCTGGCTTGTACAGGAGGAATCGCTCCGTCAATACTGCAGAGGGTGAAAACAGACTCGGATATGTTTTGGTGACCTCCAATATACCGTCCCGCAGTTGGACTTCGTATGTTAGGCGTGTTGTTTGAAATTTTTCCTGGCGGGTAATGAGAACAAATCTGCTGCATACAAATTGGCAAGGATCCTCAGGATCGAGCAGCACAAAACCATTGTTTGCGATGGCCTGAAACTCATCCACCAATTTGCCAAATCCCTGCGACAGAATAGGGTACAAAATGATCCTAGTGCGCACTCCTTCGGGCAAGGATGCCGGGTCTTTATTTACCGGGGTTGCAAATCCAAGTCTGTCACCAGGACTTTGAGGTCCAAGGGTGAAGGAAAATGAACCTGACTGTACATGTGCTTCCCTGGCAATTCTAGCTGTATATAAAAGAACTCTGCCATACAGGTTGTTGGTTTGGACATTGGAAAGAAAAAAATTGGTCGCAGCAAGCCTCTCAATGTCGCTTTTCTGGCACCCATCATCATTGGTGTCGATAATTATACGGTCCCGAGATACATCTATGGAAAAGTAGGGCTCTTCGCCTTGCCTCTTTGCCCAATTGTAATGCAACGAACGGGTACTGGAGATCAGCTGGAACACAACATCCCTTCTGACATCCGCTTCGTCGGATGGTGTTGGGACCCGCCGACTACTACCAAGCTGATTGCGAACGCTCTGTAGTGCTTTTATAACAGCAGGTGACGTTGTTGCTCGATCTTCCTTGGTGATGCTACCGTTCCTTTGGGCGATCTCATCTACAATTTGTCGGGCTTGTTGGCAGGTAAATTCCGCCATCTTTTTCCGGCTGAATCTATGATCTCAGTGAAACCTTGCCGTGAGAGAGAAGGGATCGATATACACAAAAGAAACATGCTTTCACGAATTCTCAGCGAGAGCCCCTGGAAGAACCCAAACCCCGGCGCCTAGTCGTTTGACATTATTCCCGTTTTGTATTGCGGCGCAGTGAGCTAACAGGGTATCTTGTATATTTGATAAGAAAACCCAAGAGACTCGTTACTCCTACTTCATACACTTGCAAAGCTGAGCTCGCTACCGTTAGAGGGGGAAATTATTTAGGACGCTGGAAAAGCGCTTAACTTAATATATTTGACCGCTGATTTCATTTAATTCACTCAGCTGTTCCTCCATGTCAGAAGATAGTAGTTATAAGTACAAGTTCGGACTTACATTTCTATATGATTAGTTATACTCCAATATGACTAAGCAATGCATGAATAATATCAAATCAGGTTAGCTCACAAATCGCGTGATTTGGCTCACTGACTTTGATTTTCTCCTCACCTTCACCGCCCGAGAGATGTGGAGATGTGACTGGAGCAAAGGGAAGTTCCACCGCCCGGCAAAAATGACCCCGCGCCTGCCCCAATCACCAGCTGGTTCCTGTGGTTGCTGTTCAGATCAATGCAAGGGAAAAACAATCGTTTGTTATCCTTCTCCGAGCTGTTGCCAGGACAGTAGCCCATTCAGGCCCCTTGCTCCGACCAGTACTGTTTCTTTGAACAAGCTTCGGGTAAAGACTCAACATTTTCCGTTTCTGTGTGTCTCTACAGCTTCTCGCCGTATTGTTGATGGCCTGCAGCTCCAGATCCTACCAGACGAGGGATCCCATCAAAACAATAGTAAGTAGAGCGTCTAAACCAGCGCCAACATCCGCAGGGATAACTCTGTGACTAATTCCTTAGTAGTACTGTTCCTCGATAAGCTGCTAATTGGTTCCTACAATAACCTCAATGTTCCATGCCTAGTCGTCTTTTCGCAATCTAGACCTGTTCCCCTTGTTTGGTCGGTATGTTGTTATGTTGGACCTTTACGCTTGTTTTGCGCTGTTGTTTATGGTTATCTTTTCTACTAAGGATTTGTTTTTATTTGCTTCATTCCTCCATGCCTCTTTGCATATAGCCGCCCTGCATTATCGTTCTGTGATTGCGCACCTCACTTTTTGCATAAGCTGACAGAATTAAGTGCCACAGGGCCACGTGAACCCTCGATTTATTGATTCCTCACGATAAAACTCACACTCAACAAAATGGAGGGACTAATAGATCCAGAGTCGATTTACATGAAGCAGAATTGTATTGGTACGCTTTTGTTTTCCACAGCTTGACATCAATGTAGCACTGTTCCCTAACTTGAAGTCCAGGGGGTGGGAGTTTCGGGCGTGTCTACAAAGGGTATGATATGACATTGCAAAAATTGTTTAGCTTAGGTGGTTTTCCTGGAGCTGACTCTTGACTATTAGGGTCGATAAGCGGACGGGCGCCTCTGTCGCAATCAAAATTATCGATGTGGAAAATGCCGAAGACGAAGTCGAAGACATCATTCAAGAAATTGCCATCTTATCCGAACTCAACTCCCCATATGTGACAAGGTACCATGGCTCTTTTTTGAAGGGTTCAAGCTTATGGATAGTTATGGAGTTCTGCTCTGGGGGCAGTTGTTCTGATTTGATGCGCCCGGGGACAATCCCAGAGGATTATATCATGATCATCCTGAGAGAGCTCCTTCGAGGACTCGACTATCTTCACAGCGATAAGAAGTTACACCGCGACATCAAAGGTAAACTCTTCTTTCCATGAACCACTCCTTTCAAGTCGGCAACTGACAGCATGGTAGCTGCAAACATTCTTTTGACTTCAAGCGGGCAGGTAAAACTGGCAGACTTCGGTGTCTCTGGTCAACTATCAGCAACGATGACCAAGAAGAACACTTTTGTAGGTACACCTTTCTGGATGGCTCCAGAGGTTATCAAGCAATCGGGGTATGATTACAAAGCGGATATATGGTCCCTTGGGATCACAGCAATTGAACTGGCCAATGGAGAACCTCCATATTCTGATATTCATCCGATGAAAGTCTTGTTCCTGATCCCCAAGAACCCTCCCCCTACTTTGCAAGGAAACTATAGCAAGGCTTTCAAAAACTTCGTTGAGCTGTGCCTGCGCCGCGATCCTAGAGAACGACCGTCAGCCAGGGAATTACTCGAACACCCTTTCATCAAGAGGGCGAAGAAGACCAACTATTTGACAGAATTGATTGAACGCTATGAGCGGTGGCATGCTGTCTATGGTAACAAAAACGCCGATGATGAAGAAGAACCTGCATATGAGCCTCCACCGAAGCCCACAAACGCCGAAGACGAAGATGATCTTTGGGATTTTGGGACTGTACGCCCCGCTGGACGGGGCCCTGGTCTAAAGCCCATGAAAGAAGCGGAGATGAACACACGAGGTCACGAATCGACAGAGTGGGAGCCTAAAGATCGGCCACCAAGAGAATCAGTGGAAACAAATAGTTACACACCGCAGAGGCCTACACAGACGAAGCACATTCCTACTGCTGCATCAAAGCCTTCGTCACCAACGAAAGTTCCGTTACCACCATCCCCATTGAAACAGGGCCCGGCAGAGGTCAAGCCTCAAACACCTTCCCACCTTCAGAGACCGAATCCCCAAAAGCTAAAAGAAAGCCCCGGCACTGAATACGATAAAGCTCTACAACAATCCCTGGCCCAAGACATATCTTTTCTTCATATTGATCCTACCCCAGAAAGTCCCTCGCCCTCCGTAAAAAGCCGGAGTGCCGTTCCAGTACCACAAGAATCTAGAAAAGCCAATTTATCTCGCCCTTCGGGGTTCCCATCACATCCGGAACGCATGTCAGCACAGCCCTTACGGCGTCCTTCGGACCAAAGTCCTAGACCTGCAGTGGAATCCCGTCCTCACCACCAGGTGTTCCAACCGCATCCTCGCCCACCACCAACACCAAGACACGCATCTCCCCAACCACAACGACTTCCCCAGACACCGATGCAGCCTCCTGGTCTGGGGAGTAGTTTCGGTCCGCCTCACCGTGGCATAGATCCCAATATACAGCCTAGTGTTGGAATACCTCCATCAAACGAAATTACTGCGCTGAATAGTGTCATCCTACCTGCTCTGAAGGCAGCCGTTCGCCGTCGTTCTCGTCGCTTGGAACTTCTATCGCGCAACCCTAGTGCAGAAAATGGCCATACCAGAATGGAGACATATGAACTCCAATCAAATCGGGAATATGTCCAGCAAATGATGGAGTCTCTCGTGAACGATTTAGGCGGAATATTTACAAGGATTGAGCGTTGGGACAACGAAGCACCCGTCGGAATGGGCGCTGATGTCTCCTCATTCTTGGAAGGATTCCTCGAAGAAGTACTTGTTAGAATTGAACCGGCTGATGAAGAATTACCAACGCCCAGTAACTGAATAGTTGGCACATGGGCCTCCTACGTTCGCCTTTGACTTTTTCTCGTGAGCAGCTTTACACACTAAAGAGTCAATTGTACATTGAAGTTGGTCTTCCGGGCTTGCAATGTGCATATGGGAAGCTTATTGTCCGGACATTTGATTTTAGCTTGCTGACGAAGACACATACATGAACTCAGACACCGCTGCATAAATGATTGAACACGCCTTTTATGACACGTGAGATGCATTCTCGTTTGTTCTAGCTTTTTCTTTTTTTTTTTTTTTTTTTCTTTCCCTTTTTTTTGGTTTTTTCTTTTTGGGCTATTATGACGTATTACCACGTCTGGTTAATGTTTATAGGTTTTTTTTTTAACCCAAGGACGGTTTTTTTCTTGTCAAATTCTCGGGGCTGGATCCTTCAAACTCAATACTGAGTTTCTTTATGAGAACTCTATGGCTTGCATCTCTCTCTTATTCTTTTCGATCTTGTTGTTCTACTCTCATAGCTCGTGCTGTGGATACGCTGGGTGATTGCAAACACTTTCTATTATTGTACATGTGCTTGAAATGCTCAAAGCTCCAGAATATGATCATACATACTTTCCCCGCACAAACTCGAGGATATCAGTGCCCTGGATGATTAACCACGTTCTAAGAGAGTAACAATGTGGTAGCAATATCCCCAAAGGCCGCAATGACCCGTATCGTATATGTAGCTATATAACGATATATATGCTCGCGCGCGGTGGCAAGCTGCACGATCAGACAGGCAGAAAGGTGGTGAGAGGAGTAGAATTCAGTGTAACTTGAGTGCATCTCCCATCAGACCGAACCATGTTTTGGGGTCTGGTCCAGCTTCAAACCAATGGCTGGTCCACAGTGCCTTAGCATCACAAAGACCTCGACAGCATTTGCATTCGGCCGAAAGGTCTCTTCCTCACTTGCAGCTGTGTTGTAACACTCGACAAAGATTGTTGTCCAATGAGGTGAGCCGGACGATCTGGGTACAGACTTTAATCTGTCACACATGCTGGTCTGCGATTCAACCTGGAACGAAAGAGCCCTCCTTGACCTTTAGAGGGCGGAGCAGGTAATATCCGAAAACGTTTGGCGGGTATTATCCTTCTGAGCGGAATAACCAGTCCGTCTCCGGGGTCGGAATCAAATAGTTCGTGATGTTAAATTCATTAGCATTTGGCGCGGCACCATCCACAACAGACCCAGTTAGACCATTGATTGACATAGGGTTGTTGACCGTCTCGTTTATATCAAGACCAGTAATATCGGGAGCTCTGGCAGCAGGTACTCGGGGCACATTGAAGAACCCGAAAACATCAAGATATTCCAATTCATTTGGTGCAAGGTTCCGCGGATGTGCACCGGGTGTTTGCACTGTGGGTTGGCTTCCGGCAGGCGACGAGCGTGGCTGTCGGGATATCAAGAAGTCCAGGTCAAAAGCACAGCGTCTCATATCTGCGAGGATCTTCACGCTGGATGGCGTTAGACGCTCGGAATCTTCAACACCGGACTGTTGATATTCGCCGTACTCGTCAAGGACACGCTGTAAGATTGTGCTATAGCGTTCGGCGACCTTCCAGTACTTTCCCATCTGAGCGAGTGTATCAACAAAGAAGATTATATCCGGGCTCACAGTATGGGCGATCGTAGAGCCGTGGACAAGCAGTAAGCGCGCAGAGACCCAGAGAGTAAAGGCAAAAGGTGGCCCAAGCTTGTCGAGCATATTGTTATCTACAACGAATCGAGTCACAGAGAGTATGTTTTCGACTGCGAATAAGCAACGCTGGCTGGCACTGTATGACGGCGTGAATATCGGGGATCGAGTAGTCGGGTATGCAGCCGATGAGTGGAGTCTGATTACCGCACTGTAATCATTTAGAATTACCATTGAGAGATATTGCGGAAGATCAGGATTAATGGTAACGCTTACGTTTGATATGTGGCATGGAGTTGAACCCAGTCACAAGGGAGGCCTTTGTTTGATTTCAAGCCATTGAACAACCTAGATGAGTTTTCGTAGGCATATTCGGCTGGAAGACCAAACTCCCATGCAGTTAACTCGCCATCCAACTTACGATATGTTGCTTGCCACTCTTCGACGTCCGATAAAGCGCCGATGTCCACAGGCCTTTTCAAGAAGGTATGAATACGGGACATGATGCCGAGAATCTCCACGTAAAGGCCGAAGGAGCCGACATTTTCGGCGCGCTTGAGGTAATCAGCACGGTCGCCCGAATGGTGGAACCATCTGGTTTCGACAGGCTGGTTTTTCATGAAAAATTCGTCCTTGCATGGGAGCTTGCGGTCGATATCTTTGTCGTCCAGTGCAAAATCAAAGGCAGTTGCGAGGGTCGAATATCGGTCCAAAAAATATACCATCCAGAACAGTCTGCGCCTGCCTTCGTCTTCGACCCAAGACTCTGAGTCAGGAAGAGTCACCGCTCTTAGGGTATAGATAGAGGGGTAAACGGGTGCTATAAGTGAGGATTTGGATTCAACAGCCAAGCCCAACTGGACCACGGATCGCGTAATCAGGGCGAGCAGTTTCCACCCGGGAGGCCCATTGGAGGAGCCCACTAAGTCCAAAGCTAATATAACTAGGGCCTGAAGCGCCTTGACCGAGGAGTTCTCTAAGCCATAGAGCAAGACTTTCTGCTTAGATGAATCATGGTATCGTTTCCGATTTTGCTCGTTGAGCCTACTGTCACTCGAAAAGCGGAGAGTAGTTGCAACGATTGCATACAGAACCATGCGATCAGCTTCCTCAAGAGGGGATGGGCCGAAGAAGGTATCTAAAGTCGTACGTCGATGAAGAATAGGACACCACGAATTGATGTGGTCGAAGTAAAGGTCGACCAGCGCGTATAACAGATCGTACGGTGGGAGATCGAGTTCTGGGTCCGCAAATGACTGTTCCTGATTGGAGAACAAATTGACTGGCACCTTCAATGATGATTCATTCCCGGTGTAATCATTCGGGTGTGTGGTGTCAGAAACTTGTGGGATGGGTATAGGCGGGTTAAGGCCACTTGTTAGATGGCTTTGCATCACATTCCTGACGGAAATGTCCGAAGGACTAGTGATAGACGCGTCAGACGGACGTGGATGAGCTGGCGCAGATGCTGGCTCATGAAAGTAAGCTGCATTTCGAGGACTTGGCCCATGAGCAGCAGAAGGCTCTGACGGCGAACTATAAGAATGGGGGCCAGGGTGAGGAAACTCATGATTTAGCCGAGGTTGGCTCTGTAGGATATGATTTTCAATGAGGCGGGCCTGGGTCTGAATAACTTCCTCTAGCCTGTCTGTGCAACATGTGAGTGAAATTCCGAGAGTTGAAAGTCAACAATAGATATTCGCTTCAGCCGATAGACGAAGAGTAGGAGAGCGTACCCAAACGTTGTTCTAATTCTTTACCATATCCAGCTCGAAGGCCTGGTTTCTTTCGTTCTTTGTACTCGCATAACTGACCATTACGAGCGCACCATCCGCAGCTTGGTTGAGCTCGATCTAATTTTGTCAGCCTACAGCGTCCTTCGCCGCGGGGGAAAGAGGGTCACAAAAGGGCTAGTGCAGAGCCACTAAGGCAAAAATTACTCACCACATTTGACCTTCCGTTGCTTACACAGCTCGCATCTTGAGCCGTTAGTTTGACTACTCCATAAACTATCATCGGGCACTGGAATTGAACCAGAAGACGAGGGGAGGGAAGATGATAACCCCGTGCTCCAGGCCCGAGGGCGGAGGTACGTACGACACTGTGAGAGGACGCTTGCGTTTCAGCGAGCGAGACGCACTTCCATTTTGAGTGACAAGGTCGTTATCGCTATCAACAGCAGACCAGGATTCATCTGCGCTCTGATCTCTGTCCTGGTCTCCAAAGGCGCGTGTTATCGGTGGAGTCTGCTGCGCAGAGACTGCGGGTGCAGCAGCGTTCGGCATGGTACTGTAGCGAGGTCGGCGTTTTAGACAGATCTGCGGTCAAACCCCTACTGCATCGTGACAGGGACCCGTATCGGTGGTGAATTTAGTTCGGTCCGAAAGCCGAAGAAGTCCCTGAAGAATCAAGTTAAACACTTAGATGCTGTCCAAAAGACCCGAGTCTAGGGCGTAGGTTACAGAGGGAAAGGAACACTGAAAGAATCAACATCTGCGCGAAGGGAAGCGACAAACTAGTTAAGGCCTGAGGCATCAATCGGTAACTAACCCCGCAAAACACTAAAGATTCTCCACAAATCACTGGGTTCTGCCAATCGGGATCGCACGATTCGTTTCCCACGAGTCCGATGACTAAGTGCCCGGTGAGAGGGATTTTGCCCCTTTGGGAAGCTGTTAGTGTTTCCAGACTCGGGGGAGCATTGCACCGAGACACGGGATCTTGACCGAGGGTATTGTTCACGCCCCCTCGAGGGCCTGGGGTTCTTATACGTTCAAATACGGCCTGATACCCCCGGCGCAACTTTATAATTTATTTGAGTGTTTTCTATTCCTTATTCTCTATAGATCTTCTGGTTTAGCACTTTGTCTGGTTTCTAGCTCATCCTTCTCATCATGGGTTCTGTATCGGAATTTCCCCGCATCAAAGAGATCCGCACCTTCATTATTGATGGTGTAGGATCTGGTGGTGATTATCACAATGTATGTTGATCCTTTTCGATGATATGTTCATGTCCCAATTGGGAAGACAGACCGGCTTACTCAAAACTTAGGTCAAAGGAGGCCACTGGCTGATCGACAGCAATATCTCTACCCCCATGACCAAATGGGCGCAATATCGCGGATCTCGTACATCGTGGGGAATCAATGTCTTGGGCTCATTCTGTGTGGAAATAGAAGCCACAGATGGAACCAAGGGTTTCGCGACTGGCTTCGGTGGCCCTCCAGCTTGCTGGCTGGTACACCAGCACTTCGAACGTTTCTTGATCGGTGCAGGTGAGAACAACCTTTAGTCTTCGCAGCGATGAGGGATATAGTTGGACTAATTGTTTTTATCTCACTGCAGACCCTCGCGATGTCAACGACCTGTTTGAGAAGATGTACCGTGGGTCTATGTTCTATGGCCGGAAGGGTCTTCCAGTTGCTGTCATCTCGGTGATCGACTTGGCACTCTGGGATCTCCAGGGAAAGATCCGCAACGAACCGGTCTACAAGCTCATCGGAGGAGCTACTCGGACACGACTGGACTTCTACTGCACCGGACCTCAGCCCGCATCAGCCAAGGCTATGGGCTTCTCTGGAGCTAAGGTAGCTCTGCCTCACGGCCCAGACGAGGGTACTGAAGGCCTCTTGAAGAACGTGGCATACCTGCGCAAGCAGCGCGAGAGTGTTGGTCCCGACTTCCCCTTGCGTGTAGACTGCTACATGTCGTTGAATGTTCCCTACACTATTGAGCTTGTCAAGAGATGTGAAGCCGAGGGAATCAACATTGACTGGTGGGAGGAGTGTCTGAGCCCTGACGACTTCGACGGCCATGCTCTCCTCAAGAGAGCTCACCCCACTGTGAAGTTCACCACCGGCGAACACGAATACTCCCGTTACGGATTCCGCAAGCTTGTCGAAGGCCGTAACCTTGACATCGTCCAGCCCGACGTCATGTGGGTGGGTGGTATGACAGAATTGCTCAAGGTCTCTGCGCTCGCAGCCGCATACGATATCCCCGTTGTCCCTCACGCATCAGGACCATACTCGTACCACTATGTGGTTTCGCAGCCCAACACACCATTCCAGGAGTACCTTGCCAACTCTGCTGATGGACACACCGTTGAGCCAGTCTTTGGAAACCTGTTCCTCAACGAGCCTATTCCCACCAAGGGTTACCTTGATGTCTCCATCCTGGACAAGCCTGGCTTCGGTCTCGAGCTGAACCCCGCCGCTCCCTTGATCCCAGCTTCTGCCCTCCTCACTCCTGCTCCCCAGAAGAGCCTGCCTCCGCCTACGGATAAGGAAAATGGAGCCAATGGCGCAGCTCACTAAACGCTCCACTTGTCGCTTTTACTTGTGTTTGGGATGATACAGCTGGATCTTAAATTCCTTTACATTTTCTTTATTTAATGTACATATGTTATGAATTTCATGTTGAGACTACATAGACAGAATGCTAAGAATCCGTTTTGGCAAAAACAAGAAAGAAAAAAAAATTCGATAGCCACATTAACCCATGTGACAGACACTTGCCGCAAACCCCAACCGACTGGCCAAAATGTGGGGTAAAAATCGTGGGCTCGGGGTAACAATAGCACGAAAGACCCGAGCAAAACTCCACCAATTGCGCACTATCTTATCGCGTGGCGGGGTTGAGCTGGAGAAACGAAAGCAGTAAAAGCCACGACAACGAGCGTAAATAAATCAATTGAGAAAACTATTCGTACTATAATATAAGGGTATAATCACACAGTCCCTGACCCCCCATCCTCCCATCCCAAACCAAGAAAGAAACAAAACCGAACACACAGAAGAAACACACCAACCTGCACAATGCCTCTCCCCCAACTCCTCGTAGGCAAAGTCGCCGCCATCACAGGCGGATTAACAGGAATCGGCAGGGTAATTCAATTCCCCCTCCCATCAAAGCACCTCCTTCACATCCCAATAGATCCCAGTCTAACCGAAATTCCAAAAGGCAATCGCCCTCGAATACCTCCGCCACGGCGCAAAAGTAGCCATCAACCACCTGGGCGGAGCAAAAGAGGAGCCTCTCCTCGAAGCCCTACAGAAGGACGTCTCCGAAATCACCGGTGCCAACGCAAACAGCTTCATCGCCGTCCCGGGAGATGTCACGCAACCCGAAACAGGGCGTGACTTTGTCGCCAAAACAGTCGCTGCCTTCGGTCGACTGGACATCTTCGTGAGCAACGCTGGCGTGTGTAAATTCGCCGAATTCCTCGAGTTCGTTCTACCCCACCAACCCCCAACCCTAGCCTACCCTATCTTTGATAGATAGTTGTAGAAACGGGCTGTTTTTTTCTGCAGCTCGAAGTGGGAGAGTATGTAGAGTGGTATGCTAAACATGTTCATTTCCAATTGCAGGGTTGATCCCCCCCTTCTGGGCAACACAATAAACACCAATCTCTCCGGAGCCTTTTATGCTACGCAGGCGGCGGGACGACAGATGGCGTTGGAGCAGTCGCCGCCCGGTGGGTCGATAATTGGGATTAGTTCCATTTCGGCGCTCGTGGGTGGTGGTCAGCAGACGCATTATACGCCTACTAAGGCTGGAGTTTTGAGTCTTATGCAGTCTTGTGCGGTTGCGTTGGGAAAATATAATATTCGGTGCAATGCGCTGTTGCCTGGGACGATCCGGACTCAGCTGAATGATGAGGATATGAGTGATCCTGTCAAGAGGAAGTATATGGAGGGCAGAATTCCCCTTGGAAGACTCGGGCAGCCGCCGGATTTGGCGGGGCCGGCGGTGTTTTTGGCTTGTGAGGAGTTGAGTAGCTATGTGGTAAGGTTCTTTTTTTTTTTTTTTTTTTTTTTTTTTTTTTTTTTTTTTTTTCATGGCTGGGGATATAATGGGTGCTAATTGTGTGTTTATAGACTGGTGCACAGCTTCTTGTGGATGGTGGGGCTTTTGTGAATCTTCAGTAGGAATAGATGGATGAATGGATGGATAGGAGTCTTTGTTGTTCATTTTTATAGATAGTGTGTATAGTAAAAGGTTCTTATGAGATCATATCTCGATTCCGTATGCTTTCTCCGCTACTCCACCCCATATACCCCTCTGCTGCTCGTCGGTCAACTGCCTCTTCTCTAATATGCTTTCCACTATGCTCTTCCAACGACTCCAGGTGGCTCTATTACCGCCTCCCCCTACGTTGCAGACTGGCCAGTCAGACCCAAACATCACTCGCTCGGCACCAAACGTATCAAAGACCACATCAGTCCAAGGGCGAATCCTCTCCACAATAGAAGCAATGTCAGGTACGGCGTCCGAAGAGACTGGTGGTAGCTCAGAGAAGCCGCCCGAAAGCTTCATGTACGTGTTGGGATATTGTGCCATGGCAGTGACCAGAGATGACCATTCCAGAAACTCGGGGTGTGCCGTTACTGAGGCGGGCGATGCATCGGGAAGCTGGAGATTTGGCTTACAGAGGTGATCTTCATGCTCGTCAGTTACGGATCAGAACAACCACGACCGAAAGAGAGATGATGGGGGAGTATAATGGGAACCAGGTTCAAACATACTGATGATTATAACAACCTTCTCATCTTCTTTCACACCTTCATAGACCCTCCTCATCATTTCGACCGCCTCCCTCAACTGCCAAAACCCACCCTGCCTCGCATCCACCCCCAGGTCAAACGCCAACTTTTCTCTCCCAAGCCACTTTAACCCCTCAACAACGCCATCTTGTAACATGACACCCTTCGGCTTGTCTTGGAACAGATATCTCACTCCCCGAAGCTTCTTCCAGACGTCATCTGTCTTAGTACGTTCTCTCACTAAGCCCATATAGTTCTGCAGCGCAGCAGATCCCCCGGGCACAGGTGCCCAGGGAACAAACCCCAGACAGAGATGTCTATCATCATCGCGGTGACCCTCACCCGCGACAGGAACCCCGGTGATGATTCTCGTAAGCAGCGAGACCTCATCAAGAGCGTGAGACCAGCCATTCCCAGCCCCCTCAACGGAAGAGATGCGATCCGTTTCGAGGAATATGAAACCGCGCAGATATGTCAGGTCAGTGGTATCTGCGGTGGTGGAGATTGAAGATGCCGCAAGGCGATACTCATCGACCGAGTGTTGGGATCCTAGGGGTGATTCCGGGCCATACCAGGCGAGTGTTGGGAGGTGAGACTCCGGGAAAAGATGGATATGAGAATCCACTATTGGAATAGGCATTTTGCAATAATCAGCCTGGGAGTGATGTTTGTTGTGGCGGATCGCGCGATTGAGGTTAGGGAAATTGCGGGGTAAAGGATGGACTGGTTAGGTGAGGCTTCAGTTGGACACGAATCTGGTGTCACCTGAGAGCGGCCAATCTCCCTGCTTTGATCTGGAAATGGAAATATCAAAAGCCTCCAAGAATTGAGACTTAAGGGTGGGGGAGATCATCTTATTTGTCTCGCGGATCGCTGCGACGCCATTCGGTGATCATTAGGCCGAAGGATTTAAAGTACGGATTTGCAGGTACAATCACATCATTTCGTGTCCCAATGGGTACCTTTGGGACAATGCTATGAGACCGGTATTTAATAGAGGGATCCCCAGGGTTTGGTTTCCTTGAGGAGTACACCTTACCAAACTCCCAATCTTCAGTGATGCGCGGTGATCTGACGACACCTGCGATAGCTTGCCGAGGCCATTCATCGCAATGCCCTCGGTCATCGCCTCCCCCTCATTCACCCCTGATCCTAGTTGACTTTCACACTCACCCACATGATTGGTTCGTAGGCTTAATCAGATGCAACGCGACCATTAAGATTGCTTTCACAAGCGCTCCATGAGTCCCACGAAAGATGTGCAGTTGCAACACCCCCGCCGCCACTGGTGATCTCCACCTCCTCTTACCTTTCTCGGCTACACTACCTAATAGTCAGGAACTTGGCATGGCATGCTCACCTAAGATAAAAAGAGCGACCTCGAGTCCACAGCCCTGCGAGGGCACGTCTCACAACATTTGTCTTACAATATCCCAATCCCTTTTTCATCAAAAACGTGGCTTAGGTCCAAGTTTACGCATCGTTCATTATGGCTACTCCTGAGATTCCAAAGAAGCAAAAGGCGGCTGTCTATGATCAGCCTGGAACTGTGTCAACCAAAGTGGTAGAAGTAGACGTTCCCGAGCCTGGCGCAGGCGAGGTACTGATCAATCTGTAAGCTCTGGCTGAAACCGGGACGCGGTAACAAGTCGAGCTGGACTCAATGTCCACCTGACACATCTGCAGGACGCATTCCGGCGTGTGCCATTCGGACTACAGTGTCATGACAAAATCTGTATGTTGTTGGAACCTTCTGAAGATTCTAAATCCAATACTGACACGGTCATAAGTGGGACTGGCTTCCACACCCAACACAGCCCGGACAAGTTGGTGGTCATGAAGGTGTCGGTAAGATTGTGAAGCTCGGGTCTGGAACTGAATCCTCTGGCCTCAAGATCGGAGACAGGGTGGGAATCAAGTGGCTCTCCAGTGCCTGCACGCACTGTGGTATGTATAATCCTCCACCGTACACAAAGGGTACACATTGACCGAGTTGTAGAACCATGTCAAGCCGGTGCGGAAGGACTTTGCGTTAATAAGAAGGTCTCTGGATACTATACCCCTGGAACTTTTCAGCAATATGTTCTAGGGCCTGCCCACTATGTGACACCCATCCCAGAAGGCTTGGAATCAGACGCGGCAGCACCCATGCTTTGCGCAGGCCTCACCGTCTATGCTGCCCTCAAACGAAGCAATGCTCGGCCTGGACAGTGGGTTGTCATCTCTGGTGCCGGTGGTGGACTGGGCCACATCGCTGTACAACTGGCCAGTAAGGGTATGGGGCTGCGTGTGATTGGTGTCGACCACGGCAGCAAAGAGGAGCTAGTCAAGGAATCCGGTGCAGAGCACTTCGTTGACCTCACCAAGTTCCCTATGGATGACAATGGCAAAGCCATATCCGACCATGTAAAGTCGCTTGCTGGTGGCCTGGGCGCTCATGCTGTCATCGTTTGCACGTCTTCCAACGCAGCCTACGCCCAGTCTGTGCAGTTCTTGCGCTTCAACGGGACAATGGTGTGTGTTGGTGTCCCCGAGCACGACTCTCGACCCATCGCAAGTGCGTTGCCCATAACCTTAATCGGCAAGCATTGTTACATTACAGGGTCGGCCGTCGGTAATCGGAGGGAGGCAATTGATGTCTTAGACTTCGCAGCGCGGGGCATCGTGAAGACTCATTTCCGAACAGAGAAGATGGATAAGTTGACAAGTGTCTTCGAGGAGATGGGCGAGGGTAAATTGCAAGGACGAGTTGTCCTGGACTTATCCTAAGTTAGCTGCTGATTCCTTTCATTCACAATGCATCGATCGAAGTACGACGTAGTAAGCAGAATGTCGAAGTTAAAGTAGAATGAACAACAAACAAACCGCATACAGTTCAATTGAAAGAATGAAAAGGCTAGGAGCGTCGTTGTCAAAGCGAAGGCTCGACAGTCGACAATTCAAGCCTCGATAAGTTCGCAAATCTCGGACGGATAATTAAAAATGGAGTTTATGCACACCTACGATTGGTGTTTGCAAGTAGCGTGCATCCTTGCATCATTAGCTCAGGGATATTGAATGGTTGTGCAGGTTGTAGTCTTGGCGACGTGCGACCACTGTCTGATGGTTACAGCTAGAAGAGGATGGCAGTCTTGGGCGCCAGCGAAGACATTTACTCGATACTGAGCCGATGGGAATCATAGACGCTCAGTTTGCCCTATGACTGTAGTCGTGGACTTAACAGTAAAGAACCACGAACGCAACCATGTCAGCCATCGCATAAGATCCCTGTCATACTGGCTGGGTTGGTCAGGCAATCCGCACGCTTACTTAGTAGGCCTAGCACCGTAGAACCTTCTAAGCACCTTCAAGCCTGCAGAATCTCCGCGATAGGGTTTTGCTGGGCAGTTCGGCCGCCCAATGCGACTCTTGAGCTACTCCTAATATCTTCGGACTCAACGACTTCGATATTCCCCCCTTTTTGTGTATACAGCACCTTCTCATTAAGCCTCAATCCGATGCCACCTTTTATGGTCGGTGCTTGGTCTTTTGTATCGGGGTATCTGGAGGAACGTGGACTGGCGGTGGGACAGCTTCTTTTGTGCGGAGCACGCGGGGGTCAGTTGCGACCAGCACTGTTAAGTATCATCCACGGTAGAAACGAAAAAAAGCTTGGGACGATTGTATTCATTCAGATAGACCAGCACTATCTTCGGTGTCGCAGCTATGGATGAAGGTCGGCAGCTCGGCTCTGGAACTTTGAGGCAAGTACCCTCTCGAGGCTCCTAGCGAGATAGGAGAATCCTTATGGTCGCAAAAATGTAACAGGGAACCGGTGCTGTTCTTAGAAGGGAGTGAAACGGTAATCCAGTGCCATTCTTCCTAGTTCTAAGGCGAGAGTCCATGGCAGCGGCAGCGGGCATCGCGGGGTTCGACGGTATTTGACGGGTTGAATTCAAATGTAATGTTGTTTGGGATAGAGTCATCCATATTAGCATCCAACTGGCCTGTTGCGTGTATCGGGAAGATTTTGATTTGGAATGTAGTCGAGGCATCGAGGCCGTGGGCACCGTAGACCTTGAGAGTTGGTCATCTTGGAGGGGATAAAGGTTAACTATCGAGATATTGCTTGAATGTCGTATAATTATCGATACTCTGGGGCCATGCCTCGAACTAAACTTGCTTTTTAGAACTGTGGTGCTCTAGAGGAGCTGGGAATGCGTCAACGACTAGCATCGCCTCATGGATATATATATGTCCGCAAGGCGGGCAAGCCGGACATAGTTAAACAGAGCGAGTAAATTGAGCTTAGGTACGCCGTGCCCCGGGAACGCTCTAGAGCAAGGAAGTACGGACAAAAAAAAAAGTTGAGAGAAAAGTTATAGAATAGGCTAGACAAAGAACAAAAAAAGGAAACGAAGACCGAGATTGTCGAGGAAGGAGTCAAAAAGTATGACCGACGCAGGGATCGAACCTGCAATCTCTTGATTCGTAGTCAAGCGCCTTGCCATTGGGCCAGCCGGCCAATTGTTATATTTTTGTAATTTAATTTAACAATATAAGCCCTTCTGAGTCAATCACAAACGTTTTACTCCTTCCGAAATCAATCATACCAGAGCTACACACTAGCGTGTGGGACTGGTATGTGCGATCGCCATTAACTGTTGACGGGATGCAGTGTGGATTCCACGTTTTCCTGAATGTGGAGGTGTCTTATGCAATACCACCTTAATTGAGTTCATACTCCTAGCTACCCTTAGCCACATCGAAAGTTGTTCTACAGTACAATGATAGAAGTGATGAAATGCCCAAAGCTAGAACGGCTAGGTGATGTGAGAACCCAAGGTACGCTTCTCTCACCATTCCCCTATAGGAATGCAGCGACCATGGTACTGGAACAATCCGGTACCAACCTGTCGGGACTGGAGAATGAAGGACGTCGTAGCAATAGAGTTGGGTGCATTCCTGAGAGCCAGATAAAGTTCATGAGAAACCATGGCGCGAACCCGTGTCTTGTGTCACCATAGGATTTCACGAAAGCGGGGAAAGTATATAGTGGCAAGTGTTCGTCATTGCTTTTAGTGGAATGTGAGGCGGTGCAAAGCTGATGGCAGTACCAGGCCAGCTGGTATTCGGCCGCGTCATGGTTCGTTGATCTATGGTGTGAAGCAAAGGGGAAGCTATGGAATACAGGGTATCAAACAAAATGTGAATGTACAGCACCACGAAGCATCAGCGGGTTCTCTTGCTCTGCCCGTGTCCCCCAGAACTAGCTGTAGCCGGTCGTTTTTGACCTGAGCTAGAAGAATTGGATTCAGCTCGACGGACCAATGCATTCAACTTCAGTATGTATGCCTTCGGGGCGCGGTTCACTTCGTTTTTCTGAAGAATTGCTCGCAGCCTCTCCTTGAATTGGTGAAGATCTAAGCCTGCTAACTGCTCGAGGGCATCCAAGATGAAGCATTCTCCTGTTTCCTCCGCCCTACCGATAAGTTGATGGTATAAGTTACGTTGATCCTCGTCCTCCCCATCGAAGGTCACTCCACCCCAGTGGTTCCCATCTAGCGCGTCCTTATTGCGGTTGCAGATGTCTTCCAAAAGCGTCACTAGCGCTTTAGCGGCTCCTTCAACACCGTGCGGTGCTCGCGTAGCGATGTTCGCTTGAATTCGATTGACATTATGTTGCAGTTCTCCGATCACGTTGTTGACGTCCACGTTGGATCCTTTCGGACGCCGTCCCGTTTGGCAGTAGCGATCAAAATCTGTTAACAATTTCCGTGATTTTTCCTGTACCTTATCGAAATAAATTGCCGCGCAGGCCCCGGGTGGCATGGCTTTGCACAGGCTAAAATAGACCGCGTCGTCGTGTACCGCAAGCCGAAACATGGTGGCCTCGAAGTCTCCTTGCACCACACACTGTTCTGGAGTGCGCGATTGGCCATCGTCATCGATAAGGTCGAGGCGGAAATCCTCGGGGAGTACGGCTGTATCGAAGGCAGACATAAGGTCTCTCACTTTCTGTGGACGGCTCATGCCACCCTCCACTTCTGAACGGACATATTGCCAGCTCAATAGCTCCGCAACTGTTTCGAGTTTGTCATCAAGGAGTCGTTCAATGGGGGTGAAGACTGGAGGGTGACCATCGCTCGATAACGGCACATCATAATTGGGAATTTGAGGGATAAGACAGCCATGAAGCTGGTCGACAAGCCACTTCTCGGAGGTTAGCAGAGATTGACGATTGCGGCGGATCTTGCTAGAACTTACGAAAACGTGTGGACAGGCAACACCAGGCAGGCCCATGAACATCGAACAGGTGCATGTATAACCACCTGGGCCGATATGAACTTGTGGCCGCTCTGAAAACTGGAAATCAAACCCTGTCTTGGTTCTACGGCAGCCGGTCACATCGAACTGACTCGTTAAACCCACAAGGGCTCTCGCTTCGGACTCGGGATTCAGTTTAGTAAGATCATAGGTGATGCCAGATTTTCCTTGCAGAGTAGAGAATTCAGGCAACTCCCCTCCGACTTCACTCTCGTCACTCCCTGTTTCCATGAGTGCACTGTCGTCTTCGGGATGCGGTGTTCCTTCGGGTTGAGTTGGCCTTTGTAGCATTTTGTCATCGATAGACAGGCCGCGGAGTTGTCTCGTAGGAGCGGACATGGAGAACAAATAAATGCGAACGATCTAACCTTGGATCAGAGCTCGCAAAAAGGGTGTTTGTAATCTTGGTATCAGATGAACACAACGGCCAACCCGGTATTTATAGTTTGCCGCGAACCACGGGTGAGTGCGGGTACATTTCGACCAAGTCAAATAGGTGTCACATCAAAGAAAGGGCATCCCTTCGGCTGATCTGCTCGTAAAGTTAGTTCTGGCGTAGGCTGCCATTCACCTGCCTTCGCCGCATGACGGAATCGAAAGAGTAGCAGTCTATGGAAATTCGATTATGGTCCTTATGCTTGAAAAGTAGTTTCAGATGGCTCGCGCGTGCAGTGTTACACCATGGTGCCCTATGAACAGTTATGAAAAGGGGCCTAAACTGGAAGGAGAAAAACCACGGCAACTGGGCACAGGCGGCGTAGTACCTAGAACCACTGACACAGGGTAGGGATCGTGATAACAAGGTTAGGAGATGCTGAATCACAAGACCGTTAAGTTGAACCATACAAAAACGGACAAAATTCTGTCCACTCGGTAGCCAATTACGGAACTCGACCGAGCCGGCGAGGTCCCGAACACGGAGGAGTTCTTAACTTAACGCCCAGTAAGGTTGATGCGCCGATATATGGGAGGGCACCGCTGGAAGTAGTTCTTCCTTTCTTGTTGCGGCACAGGCATTGGGAGCTGGAACTGGGCGAGATGTATCGACGGCCCCCATTTAGTCGGAGCCGGCAAAGTCCATACGTTTTACGTTCGTATATCCCGTAGTGATGATGCTAATCACCAAGCCTTGAAAGCGACGATATGGCACATCCACCTGCGCCGTAAAGGGTGGTTGACATGTCTAGGCGACAGGTAAATCGTTTGAGAAGGAACACCGTTTATGGACCAAGGGGCTCTCTGATGAAGGTTGCCCTGACACCCTCATAGTCTATGAGGCTGCACTTGGGCCACAATTTAGAGTTTATCCCTGGCGTTTGGGAGAAGAATAATATGATCTTAAGGCTTGAGCGGCGTGGTCCTGTGCCACCTGGGCGCGTATTTATACGAGACTTGCTGTGTGGCACGGCTCTGACCCTTATCACCATAGGTAATGTTAACTGCGCAAAATTTATCAGCCGCAGCCATCTCTCGTGAGTAAGGAATACCTTTAACCTGAATAGACCAGTCTTGATTGCGCGCTTTGCTCATTCGCTTTTCCTGATTCATCCGCCGACTCCTGTCATCCTGGTAAGAATTAAGCCACTCGGTATCCGTATGACTGTCCACTAATGAATCTGTAGGAGCCTTTTTCTCTGTCCTATCTATTTCCTCTTTCCTTCTTATTGTTAACTGCAACTAAGCGGAGAAGAGAAGATTGAAATGTATATATTATACCCCACATTGCCCCCGTTGAGCTCAAGAAGTCTTGAGGGAGATAGATGGTCTAAAGCCACCATCACAAAGCCACCATCACAAAGCCTCCAGCCTAGAAAACAACCCAATATCAAGATACCTAATTATGTATGTCATTATGCACCTTGATTAATAAACCAAAAGATCCTCAGTAGGAGTTGGTATCGAAAGAGAATACTGCGCTCGACGTAAGAGCTTCGCGTGCGATGTTGATTTCGACGTGCCAGAAAAAGAAGTAGAAGGGGAAAAAACAGTTACATCGTGAAAATTACTATATTTACTATAAAAAGCAACAGTCCCTAAGAATACCTAATTCGGCGGTTGCGGAGTATTGGCTCTTGCGGCATTTCTCCTCTTTGCATTTTCAAGAGCCTTGCGAAGCCGCTGCTGATGTTCCAGATCCTCATCGGGTTTTTTGGGGCCAGCGCTAGCCGTAGGACGAGGACCAGGGAGGAGAACGTCAATAGGGTGGCCTGCAGGGACAGACTGTGATGGGCGGTTAGGCTTGGTGATGGGAGCTTTGCCTAAAGATTTGAGGAGGTTGTTGATGGTGGTAGTAATCTCAGATGGGGCGGTGCGGACACTGTCCAATTTGGATTTAAGATCTGTCTGGATTTTGGCATCCTCTTTCTTTTTGTCGTCCTCCAGTCGTTCGAATACGTCGTCATCCGCGTTGGAATAGCGTGCTTCAGCAACAGAAACGCCGTAATCGGCATCGTTGAGAGCTGAATCTGCGATGCCGAAATTGTGCAAAATCGATTCGGAGTCCTGACGTAGAGAGTCTACTAGGTTATACACCGATCTCAACATATGTTCGATCTCAGGGTCGGGTAAGCTGGATGAAGGAATGGTAGCGGCATCAATCTTTGATAATTTCGCAGAAACATCGTCGAGGAGACTCTGGTTCTCTCCTAAGCCGTGCATGATTGCATCGTCGAATGAATCCATCAACCTGTTCGCTCTCTCATCCCGGTCTTTCGCCGCTTCTAAAACATTTCGCTTCTCCATCTCATCAAACTCCCCGTCCAGTTTCTTGAGGGCTACAGAGTCTCCCATGAACACTAGAGGTCGTCTTTCGGTCTTCTTTCGCCGATGTTCACGGTCTAGAGCTATTTCTAGACGTTTCTGGTAGCGAGCCTCAAGCTTTTGGTAGATCTCATTGACTGTTTTCATCGTGTGAGACAAATTGTATTTGTCTGTCACTGAGTTCTTGATCTTATTGTTCTCATGATCAAGCTGACCAAGCGCCGAGTCATACTGGGCTTGGAGTGCAGAAATCTCTTTCTGCAAGCGTTCATCCAGCGGATTGAATACCTTTGCTATATAGTCGTCCAGCTCTTGTCTTTCCTCGTCTAATTGAGCACGAGCTTCCGTTTGGCGGAATTCTTCCTCAAGGACGTTGATGTCCGCATATCCTATCTCTCTTCCATTGAATAACGCATCAATGCGTTTCTCGGACTCTTCTTGACGATGCATGCGCTGCTTGTCTAATTTTTCTCTGCGAGATTTGTTCGCAGCCTCCCAGGATCCAAACGTCTCCCTTATATAACTAAAGTCTTTTGAATACTTCTCTAGGTCCTTTCGGGTTGTAATGTGCCATGAACTTTCTGATTGCTTAGCCAGCGGTGACGACACCATGGAGCGCAGATCATCAACTGGGCCACTAGGCCTTCCTTGCCTGAGTGACATTGGTAAAGGAGGCGGAGATGACTTCCTACGGGATGCCTTACGGTAAGCAACGCTTTTCTCCCTAATTAGCCCAATGAAAGTTTCGTCATCATTTCCTGCAAGAGGAGTCGTAGAGTGGGAATCTTCTTGAGATCCTGGGTGTGGGGCGTTCGACATCACCCGCCCACTCTCCGCCGAGGCTTGTCGCAAGGCCGAGTAGGCCTGGTATGCAGGGCGATCAATTACAAGGTGATCAGAGCCCCGTTGAGGGCCCTCGGTGTAACGAAACGGTGTGTATATAGGTTGTGGGGGGTTAGTTGCTAAAGGAGACAGCTCCTGTTTATCAAGCATAGAAGGTGGTACCGACGTAGCCCTCAATGGTTGGGACTGACTTTGATGTGTTGGACTATGTACTTTGCTCGGCGGTTGGGAAGCAGGCCTTTGAAGACCAAGAGTGCTGGGCGTTTCAACCCCGGGAAGGATAGGACGGCCCCCTGGGCTATACTTCCCGTCTTCAAGGTCTTCTGAAGAGTCGGCTGACTCCTCGTTGCTCTCTTCTGGTTCAACCGGTATTAAGCCTGACTCAACTGGAGGTGTAGCCTTGCCAGATTTCTGGCTAGGCTCCTGTGGAGCTGGTGTCGGTTTTTGGCTTGGAGCTTCTTCCTTTTTTGGTTCATGCTCAATGTTGTACAAGATCTCACGCAGTTTAGTCTCCTTGGACATGAAAGCTGTGAATATTTTGAAACGCTCCATATCAGAATCAGCAACAGCCTCCTTTCGTAACATAGCCACATAGCGCTCCAAGGAGGACTTGGACCAAGGATCTAAGTCTTCATAAGGATCCAACGGCTTGATTTGTAGAGATGATGCGTCTACCTTGGCACTCGTTTCGTTGGGGGTGTTGCTTGAGCGGGGAGTATTTGCGCCCGATTGAACCTCTTTCCGCGGTATACTGAAATCCTGTTTTATTTTGGGGATTTCAAGCGGGCTAAGCTTTTGCATTGGTGTTGGGCTATCCGTTCGAGAACTGATGCTTTGACCGGCTTGGGCAATTGAGGCTTGAGTGTCCGTAGTAACGGGCCGATTCCAGGCTTCAATGACACCATCAATGCTCTCAGATGTCTCATTAGTAGAGGCAGTACTGTACATCGACCCAGAAGTATCCGTTCTGATTGGACGAGGCGGATCTTGAATGCCTTGTGTTACACTGGTACTACCCGGAAAAGGTTGCGCTGCCGTGGTATCTTGAATATGAACAGGCTGACTTATAGGGGACACATCCGCAGACGGCGTAGATACCACAGTCTGATTACTCGAAGCTGTAGTGGGAATTGGTGCTGGATAGCCTGGTGTTGGCTCCGACGTAGCACTTGAATGAACGCTATTGCCCTGTTTAAACCTAAAAGTCTCCACATCATCGACGTCCCCTGGAATAGGTGTCAAATGCTCCCAGTCAGAAGGCCCGCCAGGGCCCATTACAGAGGCGTTTGTGGGAAGAGCATTGTGACTAGTCTTAGGAGGGACCGGGGGAGCGGTCACAGGTAAGCCAGCTTCACATGGTACGGGATTCGCAGCGGTCAGTGGGACTTGCCCCGGTAATGTTGGTTGGGGTGATGAGACGTTTGTTGAAGAGAGTGAAGCATGCTGTTGGGCGCTACTATTTTGCTGACTATGAGACTCTCCATGAGGAAGGACTGAATAAGGCGGAGGCGACAACTGCTGCGACGCTTGACTAGCTTGCTGTGGTATTGAGCTTTGATACCCAGGAGGTACTGGAGGCGGCGGAGGTGGAGATAGAGAGCTAGACACAGGGGGTTGAAATGCATGCGGAGCATTCGTCGTCCACTGTGGCTGGTATTCTGTAGCTGAAGTTGGAGGCCCATATGTTGGATTGACTGGCAAGGGCTTATTATCCAATGGGCTCACTATCGGAGACTGTGCACTAGAAGAATAGGCTGGAGTACTCGGGGGCCGAGGCTGTGAGATGCCGTCAGTACGACAATAATAGCTAGGCGCACTGGAGTTGAGCCTTACAGGAA